CCCAAGTACCTTAATTCAAACAAATCTATTCTCGGCAAAGATGTGAAAAACGCTATTATTGCCAAGTTAATCAAAAGATCAGTGCTCGTATGTCGCAAAGGAATTAAACATTCCCTTAAAAATCTTCCGCAATTTTGTTCTTAAACCTCTGTGGCTGCGCTTGCGACATTTCGCTCTGCATGTAGAAAAAAGCGTAGATCCCAAAGTACTGCTTTAGGAATCTAGTTGAAGAATAAACCCGTACACTGGAAAATGACGGTTGGCATCTCCTATATACAGATTCAAATCCTGCTTAATCGCATACTTCACGAAAGTGTTTCAAGCTAAATAACTAAAGCGAGAGCTATCCTTCCATAGGCAAATTCAAAATTATTATTGTCACTGGTAATCTGCCTAAGTTAAAAACCGTTCCTTTGACTTAACAAATTAAGGAATACCATCCAAATATGCGGTGATAAGATAAAAATGTTTTGGGTACGTAGTTATATCGGCTTATTGGGAATTGAGCAAACTGATCGAGAGGCGAAGTCTGGTGCTTTTGCACCTCTTACCCCCCAATGAAGGAAAGTTGAAGAGAAAATTATGGAAACAAGCACCATTCCTTCATTAATCTTCATCTGGTTCCATCATTGTATTCACAGGTATAGGCAAAATAAAGACCAAAACGTTTGCGGGAACGCCCGTTGGCCATACAAATGCAGTACACCAATGAATCCTAAAGAAGTCTTCTTCTCCAATCGACAATTGTGAACAAATTCTATATTCTCTATTCAATAAAGCACATTGTTCATGACTGCCTATACTTTTCCTTTATTAGAAGAATGTCATTCGGAAAAACTCATCCTACGGATATGCTGAAATTAGCTACTGTAATGTAATATTATTAGTAGTAGTAGTACTAGTAGTACTAGTAGTACCTTTAAACCCGCCTTTGTGCGGTGAATAGGAACCGCATAAACGTTTACTCGTACTCGGCTCTATAGCTGATGCTCTTTTCTAAAATAGAGCGATAGCCTATGTTGGTAGTGCTGAACTTTTTCACTTTTAATCTAAAAATTTATATTCCTGTAAGTACTTTGGAGCTACATGTGATAAAACAAAACTTATTTCCCTTCCGAAGTAACCATATATCTGAAATATACAAGATCGCTGTTTGAATTTTCATACAATGGTTAGAGAATCTAAGTTCGCAAGCTATATATTCCCCATATATATCGGAGAAGTAGAAGTAAATAGAAGATAATTCGATCTATGAACGAACAATGATATGGTGCTGGGAAAATAATGCTTCATGAAATAACGGTTGTCCTAAAGAACTACGCAACATGATAGCAATGGCATTCATCGCATCATAGTACAATTTTATGGATAAAATGCTTACATCGTCACACATTGTTTCATTTTATAACTCTAAGAGCCAATATGATGCCGTTATTGTTTTTCTTTTTGCAGGGCTTTGAAGAGAATTTCATTTGAGATCAATTTGAATGAAAGTAATTTTTATTTGTTGACCTTTCACAATGTTAACCGGTCATGAGTAATTCGGCATTCATTTATGTTATGGCATAGTGGCATTCGAATTTATAGATCGTATATATAATTCATTCACTCATTCCGATTCGTTGATTTGTTGAAGATTTTGACATTTTTTTGTTGTTTTTCTTTCACAATTGAAATTTTTCCTCATCCATTGTATATATTAAATATTCAGCATGAGATTTGAACGACAGAGCAAATGCTTTTTCTAAATCTATCATAGATGATATGTTTATTTACTTTGTCCGTCCGTCCCCCGTTCCTCCATCTTATTTTTTTTTCAGCTACGTACCCTGACATGATAGCGTGACACATAGCATTAGAGCGCGAAAAATATTTATTAGTGTGTTATTCTACAATTTTTTTTAAAAATCTAGGAAATTAATTAAAAGACGAAAGTGAAGCTATTTGCATATGTTTTACTGATCCTGTCCGATCTTAGAACTATCAGTGCGATAAATGTACTTGAAATCAAAGTCAACCTCTCAGATACTTTAATGAAAATGCTAAGTAAGTAATAGATTATCATTTTGACTCTTGTTGAACGGATGTAGCTTAAGATACTTTAAGTTGTAGGATGAGGACGTCTCTCTTAAGTTGAATACGCATTTTTACAAAGATAGACAAAGCAGGGCAGTATGTGTTTAAAATTTGATGCCAGAAATGCAATTAAATTTTATATAAAGGGCGAGGTGTATTACACAAAGCCAATAGCAGTTTAAAGTAAGTAAAAACACTATGATTATTCATATAAGAGCCTTTTCAAATAAGATGTTATCTGGTAAGTGATCGAAAGGAATCCGAATTATTATCAATAGCACTGTTTTTGGGCCGAAACGCGTCGGTTTGAACACAAGAGATCAGGACGGAGAGACGGACAGACGTGCTTTAATAAAGTCAGAAAGTGGTTCTATCTCAAGTTCTTCTGCATGTTACGTACATTCGCAGGAATCTAATAAATCCTTGCACCACAAGTTGTGCAGGGTATGAAAAAAAGAAAAAAACTAATGTTAAACTAATGCATAAAATAAAAAAACTATTTAATCTTCTTGTTTACATTACTTTCATTTCACACATGTTCTAAAAACGATAACAACATAAATTTGCAAATGTATGTGTCTTATCTTCGGACATATGACATTTTCTTTGCTTGGCCATTTCATATAAATTTTGAAAATTCGAATATGATAAAATTTGAAATGTTTATTTTAAGCGCAAAAGATCTTTTTATATTTTATTTTCGGCCAAAAAGCTATTCTTTTTATTTAGCTTATCATAAACAATAAGCAAGATTGCAAAGGCGTATCCTGTTTCCAGATGAAGAATATTTTCTTAAGAAACGCTAATAGGATAACGTTTCAGGTGCACATTTTGTTGTTGGAGAAACAATTTCAAAACGTTCGGATAAGCTTTCTTAAGCACTCAGCAATAACGTTGCTATAGTTCATTCTATAACAGTACAAGTCCGCGGAAATGCAAAAAATTTATGAAAAGTCACTTTGTAACTACGACAAATTGATTGAAAGCGATATAAAACAAAGTACCGTTGTTGGAATTTTGCGAGCTTGCATATAAGAGGAAGCCAAACATAAGAGTAGAAGATAATCTAGATGCATTCATTTTTGTTGTGCAGTATAAAATAATGAATGCGATCAGTAGCCAAAGTTATTGTTGTCATATAAAAAATTCTTCCGGTGTCTTCTGTCACATCAATAATTGGAGAAAATATTTAAAAACTAGAAAATTACTTAAAAACGATATAGAAGCTAATCAATTATCCATTCTCTGTCGAATATTATATATTCCTGTCTATATTTATTAAATTTATTAACAATAAACAAACTGAAAAACGGAACTAAAATGCCCGAGGTATTGGTAACTGTACCACCATTGCAATTGCAATCGGAACTCTCTAGTGAAGCGGAAGCAACTTCGACCAGTGCCGAAGCAACAGCTCGATCCTCAAATAGTCGAGACTCGGATTGCTCTACAAGTAATAAGAGAAAACAGCAAACCTCGCTTGGTCTGCATAGTAAGAGTAAATTGCGCAAACCATATGGCGCCCGTTCGCAATGGAAGTCATCTCTTAAAATCACGTACGTAGATAAACAACAACATTTTCGTTGCAAGATTTTTTGTCAGAAAACTCGCAGCGCGTGTGAAACTACTCTACGAACAAAAAAAAAAAAAATAAATATTTATTTGGCGTGTCAAAGTTGTCGTTGAATATTCTTTCAATTTATTTTCGAGAAAAGAAAAAAATTTTCATTATTAGTTTTCGCGTTCATCTTCGTTTTCTTTACCTAAAAATTATTTTAAGTTTTATTTTTTGTATTTTTATACAATAACTTTCGGCAGAGTGTGCACGTTAGTTTCCTTTTTCTTTTTAAAAAAAAAAAAAAAAAAATTCTTTGGATAAAATTTAAGAAAAAAAATTTCCTGTGTGCGATTCCCTTTAGTTGTATGCGTTAGCTTAACTATCTTTAAACGTCTTTGATAATAGTTCTCAGCAAAAAGCTACAACGGCCTTTAAATTGAAGTCTCATATTCCGAGAGCTCTTCTATTGACGCCATCTTCGTCGACTACATCTTTTACAACAAGCGGTTCGGTCTCTTCACGCGCTTTAGTATCGATACGAAAAGCAACTGCGGCGGATTTATTAACTTTGACGCCTGCTGAGAAAGCATTAACTAGCATTCAGAAGCAGAGGACGCTCGCCATTTCGTCATTTCGACAAAGGAAATCTTTCTCTCAAATGGATTTTAAACACGCGCGCCGTAATATGAGTGAAACAGTGGCAATGCGCCAGAGTCCAATTAACGGCAATCGAAACAATGTAATGTGTCGGAAATTTTCGTGTTCTCCTGCCATGGTGGCGCAAGCAAAGCAAGATTCATTCACGCATAATCTATACAATGATGACGACCCCTATTATACAGTTCACCCGGATCCGCGTATGGCGGGACTACGAATTTATACCGCGATCATGTTAAACGCCTGGCGCAAGCGACGCGACGAAGTCAAACGTTTAGTCGAAGAGGTCAACGATTTGAAGCGTGCGGTAAGTTCGAACTATTCATTTTATTTCGTAAATTTTTATCATCAACAAATTTTTTATATTCTCCCGATATAGGCTATTAAGGCTAAAAATCAATTGCATGTTTTCAATACACTATTTCGTGTCGAGCAGAAACGCAACGATGAACTCAACTCTCAACTGAAAAGGTCTCTTGAAGATATCAATATTACAAAATCATCTTGCGAGGGACTGACAACGTCGTTAATAAGCCTTAAAGCCGACAAAGCATTATTGGAGCAGCAGTTGCAGATAAAAGACCAGGAATACGATAGTCTAAATGCTTTGCAGTCTCAAACTAAATCCGATCTTTTTAAAGCAATGGCAACTCAACGTGATATTCAGAGCGCCTTGTCATTGGAACAACGCAAAGTTCAAACGTTAGAAAATCAGAAAAATGAACTTATCAACGAGGTAAAGGCGACGAGAGTCTCTGCGCTTCTCACTTATTTCATTAATCGATTTTAAAATAGATTTACGAGCTTAATAACGAAGCCGCCCAGAAGGAGGCAGGTTTGGTGGGACAGATTCAACAGAAAGAGTATGAAAATTCAACTTTGAAAGAATACATAAAAAAATTAGAGGAACAGATCGGCATTTTAAAAGAGTAAGAGACAAAAAGTACAGTTAACCTATTAAATTAATCACAATGTTATTTACACAATATTGGATAGATCTGGAGAAGTATTTTTGCGTACTCGTGTTACCAACGAAGAGACGTTGAAAAAAGAAATTGAAAGCCTTCATCTTGAAATCGAATCAATGCAAAAGTTGGTGAAGAAGACATTTATTAATCGTCTCAAGGGCTATTGGCGTACTTCTCTACAATGCCAAAAGTCCACCTTGCATATGTTACACTTGGTTGCTTATTATATGTTCCCTGCAACCCCTCCGCCGAAACTCACTAGTTTTCCTTTGCCTTCTTTCAACTTGAATAAGGCTCTTAACATTATCAGACGTTAGAGATTCCGGCGACGGTACGCATATTGACAAAAAAAAAAAAAAAAAAATATACAAAAGAAGAAAGCACACAAATGTATAAAACTTTTTTTCGAAATGAAACAAAAACTTTGTTATTTTGTTTATTTATTTTGAAACCTTTTATGTAAACTTTCTAATTTTCTAAGTGTCTTCTTTTTCATAAATATAATAAACGACTTCATGAACTATTCATATTTATATTGCGATTTAATAAAAAAATCTGAAATTCTTGCTGAACTTGCACATGTACAATGTTAAGCTGAATTGTAGAATGGCCGACGATTAATTAATATTTCCCTTTGCGCACGTTAGTCTTAGCGGCCGTCTTTGCTGAGGTAAGACTGCAAAGGATGCCATTTGCTGATCTGAACTGTTGAAAAGGCAAATCCTACGGTAAAGGTAGGTTTGAGTTTGTTGGTTTCAAAAGGCAACGCTTATGGTAAGCGATTGGTAAACGCAATCTACTTGAAAGAGATGTTGACGGAGATGTTTGGCATGTACTTGCGCGTAATGAGAAGGAAAACTTGGGTGAAGGGCGTAACAACAATTCATCATTTTCGCTTTAAAGTTCATCCTTGATGATCCAAACTCGAGATAAATGGATAAAAATAGCAAAATGTTTTGATTATTGTCGAGTCCATTTTAGGCCACCATTTCAGCTTGCGCTTTAGATCAATGTCTGTTGTAGCTTGCAAGTCTCAGATATTGGGTCGCTGTGAGAGCCCATTTTCAAAGTTGGTATGTAGCTGTTGGGTAAGAACATCTTCAATCTTAAGGTTTGCGACCGTCAGAGTGTCGACTTTACGGACTTAAAGTCCGAGCTGAATAAATTTCCATTTTCACTACTTGACTCTAGACACTACAACAAATGTGCCTCTCCTCACTTCTTTATCTATTTATATCCATTACAGCCTGAGTGAATGAGTGAGCAAAGAATACCGACAAACAACTTGATGGTCGTGGATTCGAATTTCAAGTGAAATAGAGCCGATAACCTTAGATGCTAGTTGGTCTTAGAAGTTATTTCTTTGGCTAAATTAATAATAACAAGTAAGAAAATTAAATTTTGGTCGTGACTGAATTCTTTATTCCCTTCACCGTCATCCTAAAACAGAGAGGAAAAATAACAGAACAATAATACTGTATAATATGGAGTGGGCGGAGCAGATTTTTTCTTTATTATTTATAAATAGTACATAAAACTCTTTTATAGTTATATATTAAATATAGCATTAAATAGTTGAAACTAGACACAGGCACAAATATTTTGCAAATTCCCTAAAAAAAAATCGCTAAATACATTATAGTGTGTCCTTTTTTTCTAGTTCGCAAAACTCTACTCTTTGATCAAATCAAAAAATTTACATCAAGACCTGGCACAATAAAGAAGTGGTTGAGCGAGTTTTTTATACTATTGCTAATCGGTTACCATTCGAATTTTTTCACGAGCTTTTATTCAACGTTTCCCGTACAATTATTCTTCCAACTGCTATGAGTTATGTTTCCGACTGTCCAGTTATACATTTCTCTTAAACAGCTTTTATTGACTTGTAGACAATAAGGAAGTGATTGAGCTTTTTTTCTAATACTACTGCTATTGGATTGCTAACCAAAATACATCTCAAGCTTTTTTAGATGTTTGCTGCACAATTACTTATCCAAATGCACATGAATTCTATTTCTGTAGAATTACATAGCTACATAATATTTTTATTTGTCTTAAGCGGCATTTTATGTTAAATATCAATCGCATGCATATTTTAATAGTCCGTAAGATCGTCCATATTTATGTTTAACAATATTTAATAACATTTCTTTATACCTTTAGGTAGAGGGAGCATAACGAGTTGGAATCAATCAAAAAAGCCTGTTATCAAAACGGAACCTAGAGGTAAATAAAACTTTTAACTTTCTCTTTGTTATAGTTTTTGTGAGTAAGGATTTTTCAAACCCAAAATTGATAAAAGAATTTTGCTAATAGTCGAACGTTCTTAGTCTTAGGCTAGCAGAAAGGCAAAAGCATTAAACGTATATCTCTAATGTATCCTAAGGTCTCCGCGGTTTTCTGCCACTAGATGGTGTTGATGCCTATATATCGAGCAACACTCCCCTGATTGTCTCAAACGAAAGGTGACATTTCAGCTTACCTTATTTGCTCGTGTAAAAATATTGGTTTGAAACTGAGTGCAATACCTGAAGAAATACACTATGTGATCTTGTTTTACTATAAAAAAAGATAAAACATGCAAAAACATGCAGAAAACTTTTTCATGTGTACGGTGAGAATGCTGTGATTGGAATCGATGGATCCAAGAATGGTTAAAGATTCACCTCGATCTGGTCGCAAGACCGACATGCAAGCTGTCAGGACGCTCTAAACACGAACCATTTGAAATGAGCAGACAACAAAATAGCGCTCGAAACCGCGGAGACTTTTCAGTATAATATATATACACATATATATATATAGAAAGCAACTATAATCATCTAAAACGGTGAAAATAGTTCCGATTGTTCGATTGAAGAATAGCAAGAAGCATGTTATAGGTTTCAAGCTCTCTCTCTCCCTCTCTCTTGTCGTGTCTAATGTAGAAACGCGGTTGTTAATGCACTTTTTTTGTACTACTTAGTTCTTACACTGTACTGAACTTGTAACTATTTGTCGCCCATCAATGGACTTTTCCATTGTTTTTTAAGACGCCTGCGTTATCTTCTAAATTATTTAAATATTAGATAACTTTTATTAAATTATTTAAACATAAGATGACTTTGATGAAATTAGCTACACAGATGATATTGATTACATAGATGACTACGATTAAATTGTTTAAATGTTAGATGACCGTAGAAAGTTTATTGAATTAGAAAATCTTTCCAGAATCCTCGTAACCACAATTTGCTTTATATATAATTTTTATTCATAGATACCTCGCCACAGCCATTTAATTTATATCACGCGCAACATGAAGTAACCCAATCTCCGCATTCACCATTATCACCGTGTTGTAATTACAATCAGCCGTCGCCATACGGTGTGGTATCTACAACAACTGCACTTCCGATAATTCCACAGGTGATAGGACAGTACAAGACCAGCCCTAATAGCGCTGGTGCCACCTGTCGACCATCACCTAACAGCTTGCACGAGTACAATGTATTTAATCAGCAAACTCAACACACAACAAGTAATTTTACAGGCACGAGTCAATGGGAAAGTAAATTTAGCCCAAATATAATAAATAATAATGAGACGATTGGAAATGATGCGACACAATTTCGAATATATAATGCACTAACTGCAGGCCTCAGTAACGCTAATGCAAATAGAACAGATGGCAATTGCGTAGAAACGGTACCGCCTGCCAATTGGCCTTTACCGCCGGTTAACTTGGTATGTAAACATAAGTATGCATGAAAATTTATTCAAAATAATTTATCCGGTTCTCTCTTTAGTATGCGCAAATGCAGCATTATCAAGCCAATCCTGTCGTCGTCCCACCTTGTAATGTTGAACAAATGCAGACTAATAATAATAACAATCAAAACAATCATAACAACAGTGAGCAAGGGCTCAGTAACCTTTTAAATTTCGATAGCACGCAGTTGGTGCGCATTGATACAGAAGATCAACAAATGCTACAATTGAATACTGAAGATCTTCAAATATCTAATTTATCTATATCCACCTAATGATATTTTTTATTTATAACAAGAAGAAGAAGAAGAAAAACAACGACAACAAAATTCATGGTTTCATAAGACAGCGATACTTGTCATAATGTCTCAATGCAAAGATTTGTTGCAATAAATAAAAATGTAGAACGTTAGCTTTATTTATAAAATTTAGTTAGTTATAAGATTTTATTTTTAATGTTTTAAATTTTGTACTTTCTTCGAGACATATAGAAAAGAATAAAAACATTAAGTAAAGAATTGTTAAATAGGGTATAGAAAATCCATTAAGAGGGATTTACTTTGAAGTATTTTGAAAATACAAAAATCATCTAAATACAACCCTCGTCTTTTTTATATTTTTCCGCTCCTGTTTTAGCCTTTTAAGCCAATCATCATGTTTTACAATTATCCGGAACCGCAGTCACTTTTTGCTCGGCTCACGTTCTTCAACCAATTGTCTGCATTTAAAGAATTCCATTTCAGCAAGTATGAACATCATACAATACATTTATTGTTTGGGAAACCCATACACACGCTAATATCATAGCTTGCTTACCTTAGCAAAATGTTTATTTTATTTAAGACTAACTATGGTTTGATAATTTCCGGCAATACTTCCGGTAAATCTAATATCAATATTCTCGAATCGGGCTATCGCCAAGTTCTTAGAGCCAGCACCTACGCTTTTCGCACGATACCCATCAATAATATAAACCTGAAAGTGATGTCCCAGCTTTAGAGAAGAATAAAAAACTGAAATCATTCCCAAGTACCTTAATTCAAACAAATCTATTCTCGGCAAAGATGTGAAAAACGCTATTATTGCCAAGTTAATCAAAAGATCAGTGCTCGTATGTCGCAAAGGAATTAAACATTCCCTTAAAAATCTTCCGCAATTTTGTTCTTAAACCTCTGTGGCTGCGCTTGCGACATTTCGCTCTGCATGTAGAAAAAAGCGTAGATCCCAAAGTACTGCTTTAGGAATCTAGTTGAAGAATAAACCCGTACACTGGAAAATGACGGTTGGCATCTCCTATATACAGATTCAAATCCTGCTTAATCGCATACTTCACGAAAGTGTTTCAAGCTAAATAACTAAAGCGAGAGCTATCCTTCCATAGGCAAATTCAAAATTATTATTGTCACTGGTAATCTGCCTAAGTTAAAAACCGTTCCTTTGACTTAACAAATTAAGGAATACCATCCAAATATGCGGTGATAAGATAAAAATGTTTTGGGTACGTAGTTATATCGGCTTATTGGGAATTGAGCAAACTGATCGAGAGGCGAAGTCTGGTGCTTTTGCACCTCTTACCCCCC